ATGCCTTTTTCTTCCCCCTCTATCCGAGACACGGGCCGGGGTGGGGTGGGGTGGGGTGGGGTAGGGGGAAGAGAAGACCTCTTCCATGTTTGTCACTCATAGTGCAGTCCTTCATGCCTTTACTCAGTCTTCATTCTTATTCAGTCCGCACTGAACACAAGCTTGGTCACCTGTTGGAATCCATTAGCAGGGACGGTGGTGGGGAGCTGGCAGGGGGCAGCAGGGCTGAATAACAGTGGAGATGGGTGAATTCATCATGATGTCCCTTCCTTCTCAATGCTGTGCCCAGGCAGCTTCTGCACACCGGGGGAGCTAGCATGTGAGAGAAAACCTGTTTGTCTTTCTTGGTCCACTTCAAGTGCCCTCATCTCAGAGTAGGGGGAGACAGGCCCAGAGAGGGCAAAGGTTTTATCTAAGGTCACCTAGCATGTACATATCAGGCTGGCATCTAAGCTATCCTGTGTGCAGCCTGGAGTGCGGGCTCTGTGGGGATGAGGCCGCTCAGTAGGGCAGGTGTCCCTTCGGCCTCATCTGCCCCATGCTCAAGAGCTGCGTGCAGGGCCTGAACACCCCGCCTGGCTCCCCACCAGGAAGCCGCAGCTCTGCAAGCGTGTTGGGAGTCTAGACCCCACTGTGACCCATGGACAAGTCCTTGAACTTCTCTGGGGCCCAGTTTTCTCCTCTGTAAAATAGCGGACTCCTGTGGAACCCCAATGCCCAGTCTCTGAAGGGTAGGGGGCTGTGTGCTCTCCACCTTCAGGAATGGGGGGCTGAGCTGAAGACACTTGCAGCCCCTCTGTGTGCGGCGTCTGGAGCCAGGGCCTGTGTGCTAGGTATGCACTGGGTTACGATGACATGCCAGAGCTGAGTGTGTCCCCCATCCTGCCTGGTCCTCCCAGGGCAGGGTGTGGGGGTGGGAGTCGGGGGGCTGCACCTGCTTCATCTCCAGGTCACCAGCCCTCAGCCCTGGGCCTGGCACAGAGGGGGAGAGTGAGTGAATGGATGGGTTGCTGGCTGAATAATATCCTAACAGCAGTGCTCGTCAAGCCTCCTCTGTGTGCCAAGATTCTGGGACACGTCATCATTCTTCCTGGTGGCAGTCTGTTCACTATGTACACACACCCTTCTCTCCAGGCTGTGGTTCCCAAATCTCCCCAGAGCTGTCCCCAAGACCCTGACCCCAGCCTAGCCAGAGCAGCCACCCCCAAGCTTCCCGCAGGCATTAGCAGCCTCTCCCCACATCCTTGGTCTAGCAGGACTGGGGACTCCCACATCCCCAGCCATGAGATCGACTCCCAGCAGAGTGATCATACCTTGGCCTCCCTGTGTCTGCTCAGCTTGGGTTCTTTTTTTTTCTTAAAGATTTTGTTGGGGAATTGGGGAAGGGAAACAGTGTTAGGGAATTGGGGAAGGACAACCAAGTTGTTGTCCTTCAGTCTTAGTTGTGGAGGGTGCAGCTAGCTCAGCTCCAAGTCCAGTCGCCATCCAGCAGCCCATTGGCAGCCTGTGGCTGCTCAGCTCAAGGTGCCGTGTTCAATCTTAGTTGCAGGTGGGCATAGTCCTCCATCCCATGCGGGAGTCGAACCAGCAACCTTGTTGTTAGCTGCATGTGCTCTCACCAGCTGAACCATCCTGCCACCTTTGGCAGCTTAGTGGCAGCTCAGCTCAGGCGCAGCTCACTGGCCCATGTGGGAATCGAACCGGCAACCCTGCTCTTGCTCTTAAGCAACTGAGCCACTCAGCCAGCCTCATCTTGGATTCTTGACCCTTTACCTGACCTCAGAAACAGCTTCTCAGCCCGAGGGTTCCTACATGGCTTTGTACTGATGACTCCCTACCCCCACCTCACACCCTCCTCCTCACCAGGAATAATCGAAGTCGAGCCTCATGGACCCCAGAAGGCAGGGCTGAGACTAGTCAGGTGAAGCTATGAGAGGCAGCTCTAACACCTCAGCATGAGGTAGAACGTGTAGTCAAAGCTGCCCAGAATGGAATGGGCTCTTTGGAAGTAGTGAGTTTGCCATTCCCAGAGGTATGCAAATAAAACCTAGGCATCTTAACGGGGCTAACACATCTATCAGGAGAGTAGCTTCACTAGGTGACTGTGAGGTTCCATTTCAGTTCTTAGACCACAAATTTCCTTGTTTCTAGGATTTTCTGCCAAAACCACCCTCTAGACAGACACGGGCATTAGCAGACCTGATTCAGGGCAGAGGAAAGGGGAGTTCAGAGGCTAAAGGCGAGTTGTTCATGAGCACACAGTTGGGCTCAGGACCAGGGACTCTGGAATCGAACTGCCTTTTTGCAGAGGCTTCATTGGCACTCCATGGATCAAGGCCAAGGCTGATGTGAGACCCTAATCGGGCCCACAAGGTTCCCACAATGGTGCTAGGTGGTGCCTCCAGCCACCAGGTGGGTGTGGGAGCTGGGGACTCCGGATTCAAATTGGAAAAATGCAGGCATACCTGGGGGACAGCTTTCTAGGGGCTCCAAGCCATGGAACTCTGAAAGCCTGTCCACCCAACCCGCCGAGGACGGCAGGAGGAAGCATGCACTGGAACTGTCCCACACCCTGCTTCCCTCTCACACTCATCTGTCTCTGTCACATGCTCCAGGATAGACACAGCAGCACACACACAAGCAGATATAATCAGCACCCACATTCAAACCACTCATACATACCAGATGCGCACATGCGTCATGCACTGGAACACCCACACACAGACATAGAGACGTACCCCCCCCCCAAGTCACACAGGCACCTATGTGCATGCAGGCATGAAATGGACTCACCCACTTATGAAGCCCCAGCTGAGGACAGTGGGCAAAGTGGGATGTGTATGCTGGGTCCTAGTTCTGGAAGTCTGATTATATGGAAGCCATTTCCTGCCTGTCCCCATGTCTGACTCTGCCCGCTGGGGGTCACTAGGGCTGGGTTCTTCAGGGAGGCTGCAGAGCAGTTCAGCAGGGCTCAGCGTCAACTAAGCTGGGTTCAGGTTTTAGCTCTACCACCTTCTAGCTCTGTGACCTTAATGAGTCATTGAACTTCGCTGAGCCTCAGTTTCCTCATCTGGAAAGTGGGCATAAACAGCAGTACCTCTTAGATCCAGTAATCTCTGAGTCCCCCAGGCCTGGCCCATAGTGGGTGTTGAGTAAGCAGAAACTGTTGCTGTTGATTTGGGACAGAGGTTCAGCTCACAAATGGACACTCACTGATTGCAGCCAGGCACACATGAGGGCAGCACATTTGTGACATTTGTCAGTTCCATGACTACTTTAGAAGGCTGCCTGGGTTTCGAAGCCATGGATCTCGCTTGCAAGGACCCAAGACTGTGAGTGTCTGTGGCTAGGCTTGTGAAGACAGCCCCTAACCCTCTGGTGATGTCCGGGCTCAGCCTGAGGTTGGGGTCTTTGATATTGAACAGTGAGCAGACCCTCGGATAGAACCTGAGCTAGAATCTTAGCAATTTAATACCATTACATTCTAGAACCATAGACTGCAAAATCCAGAGTCTCTTGCCAGCGTATTTAGACTCTCAAGGACTCAAAGCACAAATATCTCAGAATCTTGGAAACTGTAAAGAGGCCTTGGAGACATCTGGTCCAACTGCCTCACCCCTGAGCTGGGATCTCAGAAGCATGGAACCTCAGAGTGGGAAGAGGACGCTGAGTCCATTCCAGCCCAATTTGAAAGGAGAAAAAACTGAGGCCCAGAGAGGGTGAGCTACTGGTGCAAGGTTGCACAGCAGGTTTGTGACAGTGTTGAAATTGGAACCCTGGTTCTGGCCTCACAGGCTTAGGCTTGGCCCCTCTCTGGAAGCGATGAGGAAAGGCAGAGTGGGAAACATTTGGACCAAACCAAGGATTTTCCAGAGAACATTTTTTAAAAATCAAACCAAATAGAAAATTGGGAAAGGGTACTGGTTTCCCTTTATTTTCTGCCTTGCCTTCCTCTGGGCACTCATTCTCGGCAGCTCTCAGCCGGCCTCCAGCTCTGCTCACAAGCTGCTTCCAACCGCCCACAGGCTTCCTAAAATGGTCTCTGCAAGCTAATTCCAGAGGGTGAGTGGCAGAGAGCAGGCCTTGGGGGGGTAGGTGGTGGTGGTGGGGTGCTTCCTTAGCTGGCGCAGGCGCTGGGAGTCTCCTCCAGCTCAGAGCTGGCTGCCCCCAATCCCTGCCCTGGAGGGGAACATGGGGCCCGGCTCCCGCTGCTCGCTGCCTCCTCACTGCCTGACTCCTCAGAATAGACCATTTATGTTTCCTTATTAAAAATTAATTTTTAAAATGATGTATTAATACATATTTATCGTAAGATAATCAGGACAGTCTAAAGAAGAAAATTAAGATCACCTGTAATCAACTCCTCTAAATGAAACAACCATTAACATCTAAACGTATGTCCTTCTAGACTTGGAACCAAGCACATATGATAGAAAGAGAGGCTGACTCAGTACATGATATTCTAAAGCCTGTCTTTTCCCTTCAATCCTATATTCACAAATATCTGTCCTAGTCAACAACTGTACTTCTCCAATATGATTTTTAGTGTCTGCATAGCATCTTGCATGTGACTCCACCATACTTGATTCAGCCAATCCCTACTGCTAAAAGCTCCACTGTCTATTTTCTCCTATGAAAAACAATGCATCATCTGTTCTTCTAAATCTTCATATTTATCTTAATTATTTCCTTAGGACAGCTTTCTGGAATTAGAATTACTGGTCAAAGTGTTTACATTAAAAAAAAAGATAAATGCAAAATTGTAGAGGTACTACCCTCTACAATGAACATGTAATAAAAATTAGAAAATACAGATAAGGAAAAAAACTCCATGCGTTCCCCTAATTCTTACCACTGAGACACAGTTAAGAATTTTGCTATAAAACACCTAGGCTTTTTCATGTAAGTGTGTGTGGGGGGGATTCCACTGTACATGCTGTTGTTTAAATTTTTGACCCTATGTTCATGTTGGTAAATTTACATAAACAGCATCATTTCTATCAGCCGCACAGTATTTCCTTGCGTGTATATACCTGGGCATAACCAGCCTCCTATTGTTGGAGCACCGATTTCTGATTTTGCTCAAATATGAACAGTCCTGTCATGAACATGCTCGGAGAAGCATCTTTACTTCTTGTCTACATCCATCCTTAGGCTCAATGGCAGTGGAATTGCCAGGCAAAGGTGCTTTCTGGTGCTGATATTGCAGCATTTCTGACTGTAAGACTAAACACCAAGCAGCCACAGAGGCGCAGCCACACTCCACTGGTGTCTACGGGAAGAACCCACCATCTGTAGACCAGGCAGGGAGCTTGCGTGGAGTCTCCTGTGCTCCAGGCTGATTGCTTAGAGAAAGGCCTTGAATGGGGCCTTTGCCCAGGAAGGCTCATCTGTGCTTCCAGCCAATCCCAGGAAGCCAGGCTCAACAGGAGCCTCATGGAGACCCTGAGCTCACAAGCCAGTTGCAGCGGGCTCTGCCAGCCTTCTTCCTGAATAGCCTGGACAGGTCATGCGCCCTCTCTGTGCCTCCAAATCCCCACTCTCCTGAGACCATGGACAGCTGGGGAACAAAAGTGACAGGTTCCCAAAGTCTTCATTGTTCTGAGGACAGGAAAGACGCAGCCAAGATATTGCCAGGGCAGTTGGTACTTACAAACTGGAGAGCAGGTGTGAGCTGCTGGCCTTCAGGGTGTGGTGAGCCCTGGCTGCAGGCCTGAAGCTGCACGAAGGCTGAAGGTCAGCCTGGACAGAGGAGAGAGTGGGGGTGGCCCATACAGAAGGGAGGTGACACCACATAACTGAGGTGCTCGGAGCAGGAAGGGTGGGAGACAACACTGGACAATGGGAAAGAACAAGCCCACGGGGGTGAGAGGAGGGTCTGCCCGGAGCTTGCAGGGGGCTGGCGGCCAGACGGGTTGAGACTGTCTTCATCCAGGGCCTCTCCTCCATCATGGCACCGCTCGGCGCTCTGGGGTCATGCTCTGTTCAGACGGGAGAGGAAACAGCCACCTGAGAAAAAAAGCAAGCTTAGCGCTAACCACAAACAGAGGGAGAAGGGGGTGGGGGAGAAGGAAGGAGAGGAAAGGAAGAGACAGGAGGCAGCCACCCAGGCCTCTTGATTGGCCAGCTGCACAAGGGTCTAAATGCAGACCTCCCCAGTGGTCAGTGCAGAAGGGGCTGAGTCAGGCCTTCAAGCTGGGAGAACAAGTGTCCAGGCAGCTCCAAACCATCCCCCAGGATTACACAGACCTTTGCAGTTTTCCGAGTACCCTCACATTGCTGATCTAAAAGCTGGGCACCCTGAGCAGGCAGAGTTCAGGGACGACCCGCCTCTGAAAGGCGTGGCAGGTGAGCGGGACAACTAGGAGGCCAAGCAGATCTGGACAGAGGCTGGAGACGAGAGTCAGCAGCAGTCTCAGGCACTTCTCGTCCTTTTAACTCGTGCCGCTCACCAAATTCCCGTTTATTAATCCGCTCTAGAATACAATGGAGCCAATCCATGCTGTGTGACGAGTTAGAATGTTAGAGAAGCCCAGTGACGATGGTGAAGTGGGCAGGCCCATTTGGTGGCACTGGCTGGGGAGACCTTTCTTTGATCAAGGAAACTCTGCCCAAATGCTCCTGCCCCAAATAGGTCCCTTTTTGTCACTTGGTTCACCCCTCAGTGGCTTCTTCCCTCTATTTCTTTCTCCCACTCTGTGCTGGAGCTGTTGGGAGTGGTGGGTGGGCAATGGTGTGCTTCCCTCAAAAACACCCATGCGTGCCCAAGCCTGATAGTGGGAGGCAGGGTGGGCAACGACCTGTGAGCCTGTCGGCCACCCCTTTGTACCCAGAGGGGGACAGCTTCTGGGAGACTGAAGTTGGAGGGACTCGGAGAAAAGACAGAGCACACCCGTGGCCCCTTCAGTTGGGGGTGGGGGCATGGGGAGAGCGGAGTTCTCGCCTAAATGGTCTAATCATAAAAATATCAATAGCTAACATATAAGAGCACTCGATACATACCTGGCACTGTCCTAAGTATTTAAATGTAGTAGCTCATTAGTCACAAGAGGTAAGTGCCATTATCATCCCCATTCTATAGATGGAAAAAGTGAGGTACAGAGAGGTTAAGTAACTGTCTTAACCCAAGATCTCATAGCCAGCAGATGGCAGAACTGAATTTAGGTTCATGCTTGTCACACAGCCAAACTGAAATCACATTAGGCTTTTATATCATCTGAGCTCTCTGAAGCCCTCAAGCCTATCCTTGGTGTCCCAAAACCTTTCTCTGGCCTGGCCCCTGGAACCCACCCCCTGTGTGAGACAGAGAGAGGAGGTCTGTAAGCCACCCATCTCCACCCGATAGGAATACACTCTCTGAATACTCTCACTTTGTCCTGCTCCTGGCTGCATCCCCAGTTCCTAGAATAAGTGATTGCAACATAGTAGCTGCTCAGGAAATCTTGGTGGAATGAACGAACAGGGTTTGCCCTGAGAAGAAGGCATTATATGATGGAGGGGCGCCATTAAGAGGGAGACCTGGAGCCAGGCTGCCTGGTCCAATCCCACCTGTGTGTTGCTGGAGAAGTCACTTCACACCTCTGAGCTTCACTTTCCCCACCTGTAAACAAGAGATATCATAATGCCTTCCTCCCATTGTGGGGCACTGAACAAATGCTCATGGGCATTTAGCTGCTGTTAATATTATGTTATCTATCACCCAAGGACACAGCACCAGCATTTGACCCTAGGTCTGGCTACACCTGCTTCTCTCCCATACCCACTTTCTGGATGCTGCCAGGGGGCTGAGGGGGGACTGGGCTGGACCAAGCCCTTCCCTTCACCCCATGCCAGGAAAGGGACCCGTGGACACCTGTTCCCAGCCCCAGCTGCTATTCTTAGTCCCTCCCCACATCGTTCATCCACAGGCATTTTCCCTCCTAAACTCACTCTGTTTCCATAGGAACCAGGGGAGGGTCCTCCCCCACGGAAGGGAACTTCATTTGGGGGTGTTTGGGAGCGGCTGGCAGTGCCTGGCGAGCTTCTCCCCCCTTCCCAGGCCCCTCCCTGAACAGCATGTTCCTCCGACTGTGTTTTTAATACATTTATCCTGTGCTTAATTTATCCAGCATTGTGATCCGATTTAGCCGAGAGCGCTCAGCGCACAGTGGGGCCAGCCTGCATATTCATGAGCCAATTCATTCATGCCACCCAAGAGGATGCCAGGTGCCAGGCCCCATGGGCAGCAGCCTGAATCCACAGATCATGCCAGCTGCAAGGGCGACCCAGGTTCAGGGGTCAAGGACCCCAGCCAGAGCTGGGCAGTGGCAGAGTACAGCATGTGTAGGGCGTCACTGGTTGGAGGCTGTGCAGCTAAACAGAGTTTAAAATCCTTCTTTGCCATTGCTAATGAATTCACTTCCCCTCTCAGTTTACTCATCTGCAAAAGGGAACAGGAACGCCGCTGCCCTGGGTCATGCGAAGGATCGACTGGGATAATAAGTAAATGATCACAGGGAGGGTGTCAGCGATTAGCCCATTTCACTGTCATCATTACAGTCGCTGCTGAGCAGTGGTTTATCTGGTCTGATTTGTGGGGGAGAAATAAGGCAGCAGGATGATGCATAGCTCTGTTCTGATGGGGGGAGGATGTGTGTGGAGGGTGTTTCTCTCTGGCCTGTGCCTGCCTGCTGATTCGAGCTCCCCGTGTGTGAGCGTCTGAAGGCCACTCCCCCGGGAAGGCAGGAGAAGCCCAGGGCAGAATCCAGCCTCAGAGGAGGGGCCACAGGCAGCACCTGGATGTGAGCCTGACCAGGGGCCAGCAGATCTGCGGAGAGGCTGGGCATTTGGCTCCAGGTTCTTCTGGCCCATGGGGATTTTCATGTAGATTCATTCCATTCCCTTATTCATTCTGTCAGTTCCCTGCTACCAGTTCCATGCCGAGCACTGCGGACACACTTGTCCTGAAGTCGATCTTCCATGAAGGAGGTGAGCTCAGGGTAGAGAGTGGTCAGGGCCTTCAGGTGAGGCCAAATCAACTTCTATGGAAGTTCAGAAGAGGAAGTCATCCCAGCTGGGCCATCAGAGAAGGCTTCCTGAAGGAGGCGGCTTTTAGGTTGAATGTTGAAAACGTGGCTGTAAAGAGATGAGAAGAATAAGAAGGACATTTTGGGACAGCAAGGGTGAAGGCCTGGCAATGGGAACTCTGCTGGGGAGGTGTTGGCCAGATGGAGGTTGGGGGAACCATGAATCCCAGGCAGAGGGGCCCTGACCGACTGCAGCCAGCCTCTGAAGCAAGGAGCCGGAAGGGGCTCACCTCTGTCCTTCACATGCATGTGTGCACTCAGGGCTCACGTTCCAGCTTTCTGGAGAAAAGGGGAGAGCTCCCGCCCTGGGTCTCCTGATTAATCTATAATTCAGTCAGCATAGATGCCATGGAGCCATGTTGTCATTAGAGGGCTGTGGAGGGCAAACAGTGATATCTCTGTAAACCAAGAGCCCTTCTAAGTGGCCGTGACCCAGGCCATGCATAGGCAGCTGTCAGGAGTGAGGGGCAGGCATAGGAGGCCAGAGCTTCAGCCACAACTAAGAAAACCAGGAGCTTACACACTTGGCCATTTACAGAGTGCTGTCATCACTGTCTTCGTTAATCATGACAACGAGGTACTATTCTTTGCTCCCATTTTATAGATGGAGAAACCAAGGTGCAGAGAGCAGAGGGGTGAAATAGCCTAGTTAAGTACGTGAGTTTTGAAATCAGAAACTCTTAGGTTCAAAATTCTCCGATGTGTCTTTTGGCAGCTATGTGGCCTCAGGCAGATTGCCTACCCTCTCTGTTCCTCAGTTTCTTCATCTATGTATTGGGGACAAAACCCTTTCCCTTCAAATCATTATTGCAAAGATTGAATGAGGCAATTCATGCAAAGACTTTAGCACAGTGGTTGGCACTTAGCAGTTCTCATCAAATGCTACGACGTATCATCATGCTTTGTTGTCACTTTTTGTTTGTTGTCCATCTTTCTTGCTAGAATGTGGGCTCCACGAGGACGGGGACTGTGTCCCTCCTGTTCATTGCTGTGACCCCTGTCACGTGGTTGTGTTCGGTAAACATTAGCACCTGAAACAGTATTTGGTAAGCTGCAGAGTGCCAAATAAATATTAGATACTATGATCTCTATGTTCTGCTTTGTTCTATAAAAAGAACTCAAGGAGACAAGTATTATTGCTGTTCTTGTCATTATTAGCTTCGTTATTATCACTGTCATGTCCCAAGTCTGCTATTCAGTGCTGGTCCTTCTTAAAATGGGTTCAGGAAAAGTCTAGACTTCTTCTAGAAATGGACAGGGAGCCTCAATTCACAGGTGGCTGCTAAGAGGTACAGGAGCAGATTGGAGGAGACTGGCTTCTGGAGGGGACTACTGGGGACAGCTATAGAAACCTCAGGCCTACCCAGCAAGCCACAGCCTGGGGGGCCCTGGCAGCCCCCCTTCCTCTTGTCATCTGGGAGGCTTTGGACTTGCAGAGAGATTCATGGCCTGGAGGCTGGAGCTCACTTAAAGCAGATTTGATCTGGGGAGTCTGCCTTTGGTGGCTCAGAGGGCATTTGGGGTCACTATTAGCTGTGTCCTGTGGGGCAGTGCTTTCCAACCTCTCCGGTGGGATCTGAGGTTTATTACACAAACAACTGTTAAAATCCTAGATTCTCCAAATGACTTACTTGAAAGATGGCCAATTTGAGTGAATTCAAAGTGATCCCTGTCATGGTGTTGGCCCCACTCACTTGCATTTTTGAGTGGAAGATAAAGGAACAGAGTTACCTGGAGCTCCCAAAATCTCTCTCTCTCTCTCACCTGTGCCTTAAGCCACAGGTAACTGATGTCTGTTAGCAGCCCCTCACCTATCTCATACATGCTTGTCTGAATACCCTGCTGTGTCAGAGGCTGGTGTGCCTTGCCCACATTCCAGAGGTACCTGCTGATGGCTTCTCTGACTCTTTGCCTAAAGGTGTCCTCTGCCGTGGGAGCACACACAGTCACCCTTTCGTGCCCCGGGAGCCACCCTCAGCCACAGGGGCTGGGGTTTGTGTGGAGAAGGACTTCCTTGCCCCTCAGTGGGCAACTGCCCACAGCGGTAACTCTAGTATTGGCGCCGTTCTTGGCTTTCTTCCCTTTCCTGGCTCACTCTCCTCATCCCAACTGAAGTGTTACACCCCATCCTCATTGGGGGAACTCAGCCTAAGACACCCTCCAAAGGTGTTTGTGTTCTCTTGACCCATAACATTTTTAAGAGGTGTCAAAGCCTGTGGGTGCCCTCAGGGGAGCATCTATCATGTGGGGACCTGAGGCTCTAGGTGGGGAAGTGCTGGTCAGCAGATGGTTCTGGTAGATAAAAGCTGAGGGTGAATGAAAAAGCCGGGTAGCAGAGAGCTCTGTGGGGGCAGCTTCACATCAAAGTCTCGTCAGGAGCCCAACACAGCTCTTGAGCTGAGGACTGTGGGCAGCGGTTCTCAACCTGTGGGTCGCGACCCCTTTGGGGGTCGAACGACCCTTTCACAGGGGTCGCCTAAGACCATCGGAAAACAAAAAGATACTTACATTATGATTCATAACAGTAGCAAAATTACAGTTATAGAGTAGCAACGAAAATAATTTTATGGTTGGGGGTCACCACAACATGAGGAACTGTATTAAGGGGTCGCGGCATTAGGAAGGTTGAGAACCGCTGACTGTGGGCTAAACCAGGGAGGGACTTGATTTGTTTTAGTGGTCATCGATGAAAAACCTATGTGCTGGGGATTAAAAAGGTGAATAAGAGTGAGTGTCCTTGCGCCTGGGGAGGTCAGTATCTGTTAGTTAATTTATGTCACTAAGTTTTAGAGAGATTTTTTTTTGATAAGAGAAACAACTTTAATATAACATTCTATTCTAACATTTACAACAAATAACCACCAGGGGTGCCAAAAAAATGTATACACACGATTTGTATTCATCTTCTGTTATCGGTATATATTGAGCGTTACAATTTTAATACAGTTTTTTCCTTTGTTAAAATGTGTTTACATTTTTTTGGTACCCTCTATATTGCCCTTCCCCAACAGGAAAAATGGTGCTCAAGTAGGGAGGTCTCGGAGTCGGCGTGGGGCTGTCCCCTCCCCTTGTGGCCTTCAGGGAACCCCAGAAAACCTGCAGTGTTCTCCTTCCATCGAGTGGGAGCTGGCCCTGTGCACCCCAGGCATTTCCACTGTGTCCCCATACATGATAGTTTTACTGTGATAGAAACTGGACCGTCCTCCCCCACCAGCCATGCCCTGCCGGGGAGATGGTGGGAGAGTCTGAGCCCTGGACTGCCCGAAATCCTGTGTCAGTCCACACGTGAGGCCCAGTGGGCACGGGGAGCGAACCTCTAGCCAGCTCTCCTTCCCTGACTCTTTAGGGCGGAATGAGGTCACTTCCAGGTGTCCTGGATTCCCTGCAGACAGGGGTCAAGACCAGGCTGGGGCCCCCATTGATGAGGCAAGGGCCTCGGAGCAGGAGCGCGACCCCAGCCAAAGCTTGTTCTGGTTCCATCTGAGACTGGCCTGGTTTGCTTCCAGGTTTTGTTCTTTTTAAAACTGGTTCACTCAGTGGGTATTTAAGACGAAAACCACAGACCTTGGTCTGATTCGAGGGGAAAAAATAGTATTGGAGGCTGGGAATCCAACAGATCTAGGCTGAATCCCAGCTCTGCCACTTACCAGCCATGTGGTCTTGTAAGTTACATCACCCTTCTGGGCCTCTTTTGTGTAGCGAGGAGGAGAATAGCTGCTACCTCATGGGTTTGTTGTGAGAAGAAAGGAGATGAACTATGGGGAGCACCCGACTGGGTGCCTGGCACACAGGAGGAGCTCAATAAATGTCAATCACCGTTCCTTATTTCTGAGCCGAGTATGGCTATAGTGGGTATCTCTTGCATCCACAGGGCCTAACACAGTGCCGTATATACTCTAAGTGCTCAAGCAGTGTGTCTTGAACGGTGAATTTCTCAAAGCCCTTTCAAGTCTTCTCAG